ATATACCCACATACATATGTATTATGTATATAAAAGTGTATTTATCATATGCAAATATAATGTATGTGTTTAATGATATGCAGATAATTCATTATCTACATTTCATATCAAGTACATATAAATACAAAATTGATTTTAAAAAAAACCAGATGAATCATTATATGTACAGTATTTCATATCCATATATGGTAAGGAAAAAGCAATTGTTACAATGAAATGAGCCATACCTGCTGAACAATATCGTCTCCATATACTGTGATGATAGCGATGCAAATAAACAGATGGAAGTAATCGGTCTGATAATGACTCCAGCATGCTTCCCACATTTGAAGCGCTTCCAACTCTGGAAATTCACGTTTGAAACAAAGCAAAATCCACCTACAAAGTACACCAGAAAATAATTTAAAATCATAATGAGATGAAAGTCCCATAAACAATGGAATCCATGAAGGCTTAGTTACTGCCATTATCAAATCACAATGGCCTGTTTTAATTTATCAGGACTGTGAGATACTTCAATATTTTACCTGTGGCAGAACAGTAGATCCATTGCATCTCCAAGCTTCAGTAGATGTTTCCAGAACAATGGCAACATTAATTCAATCAATGATCTAAGATATGACTGTGACAAAAACAAAAAAACATAGAATAAATATTTTCAGAAAACGAGAGCAGTACACAGCACAAAATGAGGGGAAGCAATCAATAAATAAATTTTAAAAAAATTTATTTTAAATAAGATTAACATTTTTGTTTTGTTTCAGCCCTCGGTAAGATAGTAGGCTACGGGTACCACATCACATCGAGGCAATAGATTTCACCACTCCCGTCATGAGTAGTCAATATTTGTATATTATTAACCCTTATTGGTTTTTGGTAATTACAATAGTTTTCCCATGAATTAGCCATTGTGATTGGCTATCAAAATGGTTCTCCCATAGGTTAATGAATTAACCATTATAATTTGACATAAAATTGTTCTTCTATGAGATAATTAATAACCCTTCTCATTGGATAACAAATTGGGTTGGAATTGGAATTTTATGTACGCCATGAATTGTGTATGATAACAAAAAATTTTATCACAAATATGTGATTCATTAATAATTGAGTAGTTATTATCAAAGTTAATAAGTTATCTGATTGTCTATTAAATGATTTATCACATGAGTAGTAAGTCTTTCTGATTGGCTATCTATACAGTTTTCACATGAGTTAATAGCGGCTATTTGAAATTAGCTATTAAAATGGTCTGCCATCAACTGATGAATTATTCATGTTTACATTACATTCTAATGGACCTATCCACTAAACCCTGCTCCTTGGATATTGCTGCTATGGTCCCACAAAACGACAGTGTAAAAAGCATATGCATGCACATGCATAGTGTCACAACACATGTGTTTGTAGGACACATGCATATTCCTGGCCCTGCTTTGATTGATTAGTTCTTCAGTTTGATTAACACTACAGTAGTCCACAGCAAATCAAATGATGACATAGATGGATGAATGCTGGCCTGCAAATAAATATACTCAACTGTTGAGGCAAACTGGTATGAACTCACCAATTGTTTCTCCATGTCATCATCTTTGGGAGAGCTAAAAAACAGTGTGTTGTGCATGAGACCGGTGAAGCACCAGAAAGTGTCTGACTCATCCTGTAACTCAGCTAGCACCGGAGACAATAAGTCCGACATCCCTTGTGTGTAACCCATGCTCGGATTTTCATAAGCAAAATTCAGCAATATATTTCTAAAAGATATTAACCTTTGTTAAATCATTTCTCTGTGGTTGCCATTTACAAATTGCAATTTGTCTATGTGGCATTGGGCTCCAAAAAAAGAAAAATATTCTTCTCACCAACATGTACATAAATAATACTGCTATTTTTTGTAAACTAAATAATTTAAACACTTCAACACCTGGAACACTGATTTACGGTCATGTGTACCAAGTGTCACAGACCGTGAAACAACAGCAACCATTTAACAACAGTCGGCTGAAGAAGACAGAAGTGTCTACCAAAAATGTCCAGAGTAAGTGAAAATTATTGTGTTGGAACAAAAGTTTTAAAAATTACATACTTATTATCTGGTAATCAATTTAATTATTATGTTAATTATTGCACCTATAAACTGGAACACTATACTTAAAAACTCTTTCCTGAAAGATGTGTCCATACCCACTTCAGCCCTACCATATTTCCTTTTTTCCCAGATAAATTTTACTGTGGCTCCCCAAAACAGCTTGGCCAAGCCTCACTGACGACTGGGCCCAAGCCAAAGCCAGCCCAGCAATTAGCGCCACCCCTGATCGACAGAAATGTTAGCAAGAACTACTTACAACAATCATCAACTTTACATGTAGTCTTAAGCACTGATGCTAATAGCTTACCTCATGACATCAACATTGCGATTATTTTTTCCTATGTAGTATTTATGTGAACGATCTGTCCTCACGACATCTTTATCAACTGTTGATTGGATGTTTCGCCAAAATTGCTCATATTCACTTTGGGGCATTGAGAGTCTGCAAAATCAAATATATTTTTTTAAATCTCACAAGTCCAGTAGTGAGCTGAGCAGTCTGATTTTAGGCAGACAGTTTTGGGAAGGTCTGGATTGACCAACTCATGAGAGGTGAATGTCCTAAATCAACCAGATTGTGACAATGTTCTTAATCAACCAGGCCCATGAGGGGTATTCTTAATGGACCGGCTCATGATCGGTAATAGTAATCCACCCGCTAGGGGTGATCTTAATGAACTACTCCTGAGATGTGAATATTGACTGGCTCATTAGGCGATCTTCATCGATCAGTGCCTGAGAGATAATCATTAATTGAACAGCTCATCATATTGATATTAACTGACTAACTCATGAGAGGCATTTTCATTCAAATTGCTCATGAGGTATATTCTTGTATTTAATTAGATCTTGAAACCTGCTCATGATTGGTGATCCTACTCGACTGTTTAATAAAGGTAGCGATCTTAATCAACTGGCTCATGAGTTTATTAACTAACGCAAGAAAAGATATTTTTCCTATCCTTAATAACATGATTCATAGTTTCATAATGGGTAGTCTTAATATCAAACAAACATTATTGTCCAAAAAAGTGAAAGTTATTACCATAAGCAGGTTCAAATCACATAACAGTACAATAATTCGTGGATCATACAGTACCTTTTTTTGTCAATTTCCTTGTAAACTTTATGTTTCTCTTCTCGTAGATCTTTCCTCGATTGACGTGTTGAATCAAAGTTAAAGAAATGCAGTAAAAACGGCCAAATCTCCCTCCTCACATACTCATCGATACCACCAAAGAAAATGGCCTATCAGAGAAAATACAATAACAATGATATACAGCTTTCAGCTTATAAATATTAAATATGAGCATTTCATTATCCAATTAAAACAAATCCTCTTTGTTTGTATTTTTATATTATTCCATAAGATACTAAATGATTTATTAAAAGAGAAGTTCATAATAACTTGAACTTTTAAACATTCCAAAATGTCGATTTCTCAGCAGCATTCAAGACTATATGGCGTAACGCATTGTTTTATAAATTAAGTAAGCTTGGTGTCTCGGGTAGATTCTTAGCACTACTTATTAATATGTACTCCTCCGTTTATTTTCGCAATTAAATGTAACGGTAAAATCACCGAATCGTTTGAGACAACAGTTGGCGTCAAACAAGGATGCAACTTAAGTCCTCTGTTATTCAATCTATTTACAAGTGATCTTCCAGCTATTTTTGATAGCTCGTGTTATCCTGTGAGCTTAAATAATTCAGGGTTATCATGCCTACACTATGCTGATGATCTCGTAATTATATCTGAAACCAGTAATGGGCTTCAAAACGCCATTAGAAACTAGATATAAATATTATTACAAAACAAAAATAATCATTTTTAACAAAAGAGGGCACCTACTTAAACAATTTTTATTCTTTTACAATAAGAAAATTGATATTGTTATTATAAATATTGCATATGCGCTAATGATTGAAACAGAAAAATGCATATGTAAAATGTGTGATTCAGAAGAAGTCGAGAATGAATCTCATTTTATTATTAAATGTAATGCTTACAACGACCTGAGAGTTTTGCTATTTAATGACGTGCAAAATGCCATCACCAATTTTGACCTGTTATCATGCAAGCAGAAGTTTGTGGATTTTATGGGGGGGGGGGGTCATCCGATTTTGACAAACTCTCTTCTTTAGGAAAATATATTAAAAAGAGAGTCTGTCTATGGCAAATAATAATTCAAGATAGTTGCTATATAACTGTGTCGATTTGAGGAAGCTATGTCGCACATTCAACATACACTTATACATTTTCTGTTACTGTATTTTGTCTTATTTGACTGTATCATGATTGTTTGATGTCAATAAGTTAGTTACTTACTTACCTAGGTACACCCTCCAGGGAGTACAGCAGGTTGCACTTCGTGCTGGTTTGAAAATCATAAATATTTTGGCACACCTTGGATTTTGTGTCATATAAATAATGGATACTATTACTATTTCAAATATTATTAATATCAAATTGTTTAATGAAATGAATCAATTGGCTACAGTGCTGAAAAAATCCCACCTTTCTTAGTCCAAATTCATCTTCAACTTGTCCACATTCATTGAGGTATGACCACCATATATCCTCTGTAATCATGTCATACATCCCTTCTTCTGGGTGACATTCAGATTTCTTCCAGTTTGGTCGAACAATTGAGAACTTCTGACACAGTCTATTGGTCTCTTCATCAGCATTCTGAAACATCAAAAGGGAAAAGGGCATAGAGCGGCAAACAAACTTTACAAGTATGTTGTCTCATGCTGGAGATGATTGAAGGATGAAATATTATAATAATGCAAAATATATTTTTTTTAATAATGAAAACATAAATTATAGAATAAGGAATGATTGGTGGAATAAATCAATTTTGAGATTTAGCTGGTAATTTTTAAAGTAAAGTCTGTAATAATTTTAAGTAAGGTCGTGGTGTGTATAAGAAAGAGTTAGGCCTATAACCGACACCATGTATTCTGGGTACCACATGCTGCAAGGCTAGGTTATTAGCAATTAAAAACAACGCCGAGAAAAAACCAGGTTATTGTTCTAGCCCAAACGGCTGTTAAACGCGGACCGCCTGCTGTTATCTGCTGATAATCCAACGCTGCAAATTGCAGTGTTTTTTGGAGGAGCAAAAGCAGCATGCGGTATGAGCAGGGAGCATTTTGTATCACTTAATTAATCCCTTTTGATTGTTTTAACACAAGCCACAAGTAAAGTCTGTTTAAATCTTCATGGTCCCTGCTTCTTTTAGTTTTTTCCAAAACTGAAAATCTCGATAAAATAAAATATTTCAACTGAAGACATTTTGCAGCAAAAACCTACAGTTGTTTTGCCAACTTTTTCAACATGGTTTGCCATAAATATTCATCTATTATTATTACAACATGCAAACTTCAAAGAATATTACAGTATTATCATTATCATATTCACTATCATCATTAACCATAATCATCACCACACATAATTATTTTTTTTTAAATCACCGAAATTATAAATTCATGAGACTATAAAATCAGTGCTTTCATAATTATTATATATTGTTTTTTCACAAAGCAGCAAACCAGATGAAACTGCTTGAATATATTTTGTTTGTAGCAAAGCCTTCACCCCATGTATCACCATGTGTGCTGTTAATATTATAACCAATGTGTTAATGTAATGTATTACAGCAGTTTCATAATCTGCTTCACAAGTGTGTGTGTGTGGTGGTGCCAGCAGCGGATCAGAGGAACCAGTTTTTTCCGTCGAACATGCATGCTGAACCTAAGTGTCTGACACCATTCATTAGCTAATCCAACTAAGTTATTGTTCACACATTTATAAAGTACCATCCTAACTTTAACATTACATTTTCAAATATTATTTTAATTTCCTCCTTAATCTGCTTTTTGAGCAAAGCCATTTTGCTAAATGACATTGTTTTTCTCTGCCCTTCTCTGTCTGTACAGTATTTCAAATTAGTTTAAAACAAGGTATAAAATAAATGTAGAATTTTCATGGGCATTAATTTCTTTTTAAATAGTTTTGAACCCAGGACCTATTTCACAGATGCCTATTCCATATTGAACTCAACTGACTGTCCATCATGTATCTTTCCGCCAGGCCCCGCCCCCCTGGATATTATTGAAAGGTCCACAAACAATGTTGTAAATATACATAAACACATGCATTTGTGGGACAACACATGTGTTTTGAAGGACACACGCATATTTGTGGCCCTGTTATGATTGGTCAGTAAAGTTTGATTGACACACTCCAGAAAGGTCTATTGTTTCAATTAATTGCAGAGGAAAACAGATTTATTCTAATTTTTTTAAAGAAAAAAAGATGTCCAAGTACACAAACCAACTGAAAAATCAAATTGTATTTTTCAAGTTTTTAGCTCAACAAAGTCTCTAATTATACAGTAAAATGAGTTATAGAAAGCACAGTGTTTGTTAGTAATGCATGAATGTGAAGCTATATCCTCCACGATGAGATTTAATGATTAGGTGATTAAAAACCTTTTTTAAAAAATATATTCACCACTTTGCAAAAAACTTTCAAAATGTTGTTATTTGCCAATTAAAGTTGGAAAATGACCAATAGAGGCATTTTCTACAAGAAGACAGGTTCTACAGTAATAATCAACATAAAGATATACAGTTTGTGATGAAATAAAAAACTTTAGAAAACTATATTACACTTGTAGGGTTTAATTTGATAAAGTAATTAGACTTTGAAAATTGATAATTAGAATGAGAAAATATTTTCTCGTAGATTAATTGGTACAGTATAAATAATACAGTTCCTGTATTCTTTTGTATGTAGACCTTTAAATTAGCTAGTAATCAATTTAAGAATTTTGGTAGTTAACTACAGTAGTTAACTGTAAACCAGTAAAAAAGGAAATAGAGAAATTTATTAGATTATCACTCCCGCTCATGTCAAAAATTCGGGAAATACTGATGAAAAAACAGCATAAAAATAACAATGCAATTTTGTGACTTCAAATACATTTTCTTTAAAAAACTATAAAATTAAACCAGTTTTTATAAAAATATTTACTATTACAGGCCAAATATAAACAGTCCCTCCCTCATCGATAAAAAGAAAAACGAAATAATCTATTGTTCCGATAAAAAAAACCAAAAAAAAAACCGCCCTCCCTCATTATTTTTTTTTTTTAAAAGAGTGATAAAGCTAATAATTTTTTCTATGTGCCCTTAATGATCTGTGTTCCATTAGTCATTAATTTATCTAAACTTTAAAATGAGAAATTTATTTTTTTAAATATGGTTTTCATATTTCATCACAGACTTTATATCTAAAAATAATATGTTAAAATGTGTTAAAAGCATGTAAACAGATAAACTATGCACACTCACAAAAAGCAATCTTTACACAGCAAATAAAGGTTGTGGAAGGAAATGGGACAGGATGAGCAAAACTGATCACACTGAAAAATTTATTTTACCAAAATAAATACAAAAGAAACCAGGCCAGGTATAGGTAGCACTGACACAAAGTTGAATCTTACCGGCAGTGCTTTGTTGGCAGGGCCGGGGAACACCCCCGAACCAATATAACCAGCAAACGAAAAGGGCTGCATGTGGAGAAAGAGAAGAACAAAAAGCAAACAAAACTGACACTTAAACATCTGTGAGAAAACATAGCATTATCCAAACATTAGCACATGTCAGGCAAATTTCAATACAAATAATTATGAAGTGATGATGGAAAAAAAAACAAAACTGAACAAACACTTATAAAGCATTTTACCGTTACAAATACAGATGGTTACACACTGTACTGTCTACCACAGACAATAACGCTGGCAACCGACATACTTACACCAGCAAATCCCATCCCAAACTACACACTGACAACATCAATCAATATTGTGAGCATATAAAAAACAAACAGGTGTCTCAAATCTCTCGCAATTTGCAGGAATCTCCAGGAAAACAGGACAGACACCCCCGCAATCAAGTAAAAATCTCCCGGAACATAACCCATCTCCGGTAAATTCATAATATTTGCCATTTTTTTACTAATACTATACTGTATTATTAATCGTCTCACAGAATTCAGTGCCGATGGATATCACCTTGAACAGCAAATTAAAATTAGGGTACTATAGATAATTTGAGAAAGTACAATTAAACAGATCTCCCAACTTGGTACCCCTGAAAAACCATCATACAATATACTTTGATCAGGCCCATTACCAGAATTTGTCAAGGCGAGGAGGTTACATGAGAGCCAGGGGTATAGGGAGAACAGGCCTCGGGTGGGATTCAGGGGAAGAGCTCTCATGTTGGTATAAGGGGATGATAATGTAGATGAAAAATAGTAAAATTTCAAATGGAGAATTTCATCATTGTCCTGATAGTATTTGAAGCAAGAGGAGGTGGTTCAGCAACCCAAAGAATACTCCTGTTGAGTGATTATTTTTTCCATAGGCATACACTTATCGATAAAATTTTCAACCATTGTTCAATTTATAAAGGTGCCATTCCAACAGTCAAATTGGTTATGGCTCCATATTCATAATATTATACCAGTAGAAACAAATTGATAAACATTAAAATAAAATACAGGGATATTCAATGTCAATTTGCTGAGCTACTTGAAAAATACTGACTATTATTAATAACAAATCAGAATTTATCCAGCAACGTGTGCCGTACTTTAAATTATCTGTCATTGTCCCAATATTACTAAATACAAGAAATTTATTTTTATTACGTTTGTACAAATCTCCTCAGCAGCAAAAACACCATTTGTGATTAGCAACAAAATGTCCAAAAAAGAAAAGAGGAAATAAAAGAAAAGACAAAATAAGAAAACACATTAATAAAAAAAAACAGACAGCCTACTGTACAATGTGCACACTTAAATTATTTCTTTGTAGTACTGTAGAGTCAAGTACAGGGATGGAAGACCCACAACATGGTGGACTGAAGAGATGGCATACAGGATAAAGTCTATACAGTATGAATCCTGCAGGGAAGCATTCATTCACAATAATAGAACGAAAACATAATATCCAACAGATGTTACATCTGGTTGAGAAAAGCTCTAAATGAAAGATCTGAAAACCATCATACTTATTATCCAGTATTTAATTATAAAATAAGATGGTGTTAAATATTGATTACAGGTATTGCATGATCATGTCACATAAAGAAAATTCTCATAATGTCACATGACCTAGTATTAGTAATGAAGACATCCTTGTATGATCATGTGAGTGTGTCAAATAAGAAAGCGTATGGCAGAAAAATCAGAAACTATGCTGTGGTTTGCCATCAACTATGTTAACATCAAAAAAGTCTTTCAGTCTGTTGTTATAAAAATAAATGATACAAACTAATGAACATTTCAGTTGGGTATTGCAGTTTAAACAGGTCAAAATGGGGTAAAAAAAATGTCAAAACATACAAAGCATAAAACATAAACTAAACTACAAATAGAACTTTAAAACAGAAAATAAGATAAAAATTTAGCACACATTCATTAACTCAAACTTGAAAACAACTGTAAAACAAAAAGTAGCAGACACTTTTGTTTTCTAGATTTGCATAGATTTTTTAAATTGCCAAATGTGATACCTGTATTTCCAAAAATATTTATCAAGGAGGTACTGTACAGTAGATGTAATTGACTGTTTGGTCAATTTACAAGCTAAGAGATATTTTCAGAAGGCTCCATAATAAATACATTTCAGTAAGATTTTTTTGGCACATTTGCATTTGTTTTGGTTTTTTTCTTCTCTGTTGTTGTTAAGCGACTCGAGGTAGTGTCAACGTGAGGCGCTATATAAATCCAGAATTATTATTTTATTATTAAGATAATTGACCTTCAGGGCCTATATATTTCATAATTAATAATTGGCCATCCCATGATATTTTAGGGCTGAAGCTAGTAAAAAAAACATTTCACTTCATTTTCATCCAGGAGTACCCACAAGGACTTGTCTTGGACCCTCTTGAAAATCTACCATAATTAATTTCTGTATCAGTCCACAACCAAAAAGTATGAATTAATTTTACTAAACCAAATATTGTCAAATTTCCATAAAAATTTAAATCAAAGTATTAAAGTATTGATTCCTTTTAGTTAATATTTTTACATGCACTTCAAATTTAGACAAGGTTTGCGACTGTCAGTCTACAACCATACTTAAGGTTATATCGTTAATAAATAGGAATAATTAATATTTCATGAGGTGTCCATCCTTTTATTAATTATAGTTGTTTAGAAGTGGGTCATTCCATGAGGTTGGGTAATATTGAGATTTATCACAAGACTCCACATTTTGGGCCCATTTTTTCTACCATCATGAATGAAATTTCACATGTTACTATTATTATAGGTTCTAAATATATCTATCCATATCTAATGAGATATAAAAATTGGAAATTACACAAATCTGTAAATTTTGCCACTTTAATTTGTTGTGGTGTCCTCACATTTTCCATAAAAATAAGTGTGACATAAAAACATTGAATATATAGATAGCCATTATTTTATATAAAACAATAGACCAAAATAAAAAATATTACCAGTGCTTGTAAAGGGCAATGATTACATTTAAAAAAAAGCCCTAGTTTAATAGTTGATCTTGTGATGCACTTTCATATAACAATACGTCAAAGTTTGATTACCTGATGCAACATGTGGTGTCCTATTTGTTACGTAGGTAATATTAGGGACATGTACTCTCATACCAAAATACTATGACTTTTAATTGGAGAATAATAGTAAATTAATAAAGACAAATATGACATCTAAAATTACTCAAAACAAAAAAATCCATGGGATGATTATTTTTCTGGATATCAACCATCAAATATAAAAAAATGGACGCGGTGTCCTCATTATTTCGTTGCGTAGGTATCAGAATTATCACAATAAAATTTTGTTGTCCTTTCCTTTACAAAATTATTATTATTATTGGTGGTAGGACGTATGAAATGTACTGTACATTCTAAACTAAAATCACTGTCAACTGGCATTATAATTCAGAATTGGGAGATATTCTTCTGGCGGTGTTCAACCGTTGCGGCAGGTATTTCTCTGTTACGTAGGTATGGTTCTGTTAACAAACTACATGCTTTTTATTCATAAATTTAATTGTATATTATTATAATAAATGGATAATTAACAGATACAAAATATGGAGTTAGTAGATAATTTTAGAGCAGTGTTTAATGTTTATTTTACAACATATTTGTATTTTGTTGTTATAGGACACAGTGTCCTGTTGCATCAGGTATCATGAATTGACAATAAAATACACCAAATATCTGAACTAAAGCCACCTTGTTGCTCCACTATATGAATATGGCAATTAATCCAAATGTCAATGCCTAAAAACGTGGCTTTTTTTGTTGGATGTCTTTGTGTGTGTTTTACGCAACATGGACACAGTGTCCTGTTACTTCGACTCCCTGTAAAAAATTTTAATGGAAACAAATAAGAAGAAAAATTATTATGGCTAATACTAGAATGTGTTGGCATATTTAAAATGTATGTTAATAATTTGAAATTGATTATTTTTTAAATTTTGACCCTTTGTCACACTTTATTACCAAACCTCATAGAATTACCCAAATACTAAATATTTTCAATAGCAGAAAAAAATCTGAAATTATGAAAATATTTCATTTTTCAATCGTCAGTCCGTGACCATGTTTATTATTACAAAAATTACAATATGTAAATTAAAGAACTCTATTAAATATCATTAATATATTATTATTAATATCATTGACTAGTTAAAATCCATTTTAATATACATAATTATTTAAAATACCAAAATGATTAACAGTATTAATATATTCTAATAACTATGAATACAAAACTCAAATGCAACATGTATTTATAAACCAAAAATATAATTTTTTACCTTAAATGTGTTTCTCACAGCATACTTCCAGTCTCCTAGGATTTCAGCCAATTTACCAAGGCCTGAGTGATGGAAATGCAAAACCTTGTACTGGCTCTCCTGACTGGCTATTACAAACTGACCATTGCGCTCCTCCCTGTCTAGGAAAAACAAACGCAGAGAACGCATTTCACCAAGGTCAACAGAAAACACCCCACAAAGTTGATCCCTTGCTGAGCCCTGACCATGAGAATGTGATGGGCTATCCGTTGAATAACTGACGTAATTTGCAGGAAAAGTCATATTGTACATCGGTTCATCAGTTGATTCACCGTTTCCATCTTGATTGAACTGAGAGTTGAAAGGATCATCTCCAGATGCTGGCGTGGATGGCAGTGACAGTTGATCCTTATTAGATGTTGTTGGGGTTGTTGATGATGATAGACTGTCATGGCATGCTCCAGGTAAGTCTAACTCTTTCAACATTTTCCTTAACGGTGATGTCTGATCACTAGTTGGTTCCGTCGACTCTGAACTCAAACTCCTGCTGTCTGTTTTGGCTTCCGTCTCTGAACACAAGGTAAGATCTGTTGGTCGCCCTGAGCTACTGGCGCTCTCTGACCCAGTTTCATCTCTGGTAGAAGCAACAAGAGAGGCCAGCTGATCTTCAACTGGGATGTCACCACTCTCTGATGACTCTGTATCTGTTGATTTTTGTTCTTTGCCATACTGCTCCTGCTTCTCCTTCTGATTGGGTTCTTCAGCAATTTCTGACTCAGAGCCAGTTGATTCTTCTGCCTTCAACTCTTGCTCTTTGTCCATATTCTCCTCTGTCTGTTGTTGCACATCATTCAGTTTGTCAGCCTCTGAAGTCTGTTCATTAGCCTCATTAACCTCAATCCCTGACTCAGGCTGACTGATAATAGATCCACATAAGCTTTTTCTATCTCCTTCCGACTCGCTAAAGCTTTTTTCTCCACAAAATGCACTATCACGACTAGTTCTATCCTCTTTCGATTCTTCAATTTCTTCATCTTCCAATTTTTTCTCTAAAGTTTCATCAGTGGTAATATGTAATTTATTTGGTTCCAGTTTTGGTGATGCATTCAGAGATGAGTCACCACTGACCTTATTAATCTTGAGCGTAGAATTCGGAATCCATGTCAGGATCAAGGTAGACCCAGTTTCTCCTTTCTGTTGAGCTCGTAATGTTAAATAACCAGGGAAATGCGAGAGGTCTGTTGAGAGGTTTGAGGGAGGATGGACACACACATTATTCTTGCTGTAAATGATCTCCCCATCAAGCGGTGGTGGTTTGCTTGGGTTTGAATCAAGAATGTTCACGTTTATGAAGTCTCCAACTTTTTTCAACAGTGACGCCATCTTTGCTATTACTCTATACTATCACATGCCATTGAATCAGTTTTCAGCTTTTTCTCTGCAGGCGAAAAAATAAATTATCATTCAGAATTAAAACACTTGACAATCCAAGAATACAAAGTACAAGAAATGAGTAATAAGAATATCCCTGTGGAACGCCTCTTGATACATGGCTCCAGTCTGAAAGGACACCACCAACTTTATCTCTTTGCATCCTATTTGAATTGGATTGGATTGGATTTATTTGGTGTAAACACCAAGGATAATTTTGGAACCATAACAAGCACTGGTCAAAAGGCCAGTGTAGTGGAGTTTCTTAATAAGGATTGAATGGCTGATTCAGTCAAATGCTTTAGAGTAATCAAAAATTATTAAGCCAATAATATTATTGTTATCAATAGTAAGTTTAGCTTCACTGACAAATTTAACCAAAAGATCCTGGACATAATTTTGAAGGCAGAATAAAAATTGACACCCAGGAAGGAAGGAGTGAATGTTGAGGAAATCAAGAGTTTACTCATAAAAAACTTGTTCATGCACTTTTGCAATCACTGGCATAATTGAAATAGGGCGGTAGTTACCTAACTTGAAGTGGGGGCCTCCTTTATGAATGGGCAAAACGACAGCAGCTTTTCATTCTGAAGGTAAAACCCTATGTAAAGTACAATGCTATAGTTAAAAATTAGAAATGGAATGTGAAATGGCAGGAGCAGCAATTTTAAGGCTGTACGCAGAAATACCATTGTGACCTGATGATGAAGTAATAAGATTGAAGCAGGAGAGGCCATGTGCATTACCTGTAGAGAGAGATGGGATAGAAGGATCAGGATGGGAGGATGGAAAGAAAGAGCGGCCACTAGGAAATTAGTTATTAAAGACACTGTAGATAGATTTAAGGTCAGATACAGCGGACCCACCATTTTTGAGAGACAAGTTGTCTTTAACATTAGTTTTTTGTCCCATCGTTCTGTTAAGGTGTTGCCAAAGTTTTCCTGGATTCCTTTAGACTCATAGCATACATTATTAAAGATACTCATGCTTTCCGCTGCCGAACTAGGGAAGTAACTCTATTATGGCATTCTCTATACTTAATCCAATTAGAATTAAGATTACTCTCTTTGGCTTTCTTAAAAAGCCTCTTGCGGATACCTCATTGATCTTCTAATTTCATAGCTCATCCAAGGAAGGCTATTTCATAGCTCATCCAAGGAAGGCTATTTTGGGTGGAATGTTTTATCTATGTAATGCTTGTTTAAAGAACATTTTGAAAGGATGATTTCCAAAAGTCCAGGTCTGATTCAATGTCCTGAATGATCTCAAAAAATAGACCGGCGTTTCTTAGATCAAACAATAGCAATTCAATATTACAGTCATGAAGTGCACAGACTGAGATGCGTTTTGAAGGCCTAATAGGAAGAGCATCGGTGACTGGCATTAACGTATAAACAACGAATGATCACTCAAACCGATATCGACAACACTAGTATCACTGATGAGATTTGGACATTTTTTAAGCAAGAACATCAATAAGAGAACTTAAAAACGGTACACATCATGTAGGTTCTTTAACAAAATGAGTGAAATCAAACTGTTTAAATACACTATTTAAAATATGTGATTTATTGTCCTCAGATAGAAAATTTATATTAAAGTCACCAGTCAAAAGAAGATTGGGTGGCAAAGTAGATTGCATAACATCTTGAATAAAATCAGTGAGTGAGTCGGAGAATTCAGTCAGATGATACTTTACCAAGTGTGATATTAATTTTATATAGTAACTAAAGTTCTAACAAAAAATTTACAGTGGACATTATATAAAATACATAAAAGGAAGAGGGCTGGGCCCTTGTGTTCTGTATTAGTTAACTCTCCCCAGCTAAAAGAAATTCAGTCTTATCTAACACTAACAAAGTTAGTTTAAAGTTAGTTTAATACGATTCTGCGCACATATTTTCCAAGCAATTTTCTATGCAATGTGTGTCTTCATAACAGTAGGCCTAGCCTAGTCTCCAGTGGTGACGCCATGACAATAATAATTTGCTTATTCAAAAAGCTTTATTTTGATTGCCAATATTGTGGTCTCTACCAGGGATTTCATATTATGGGACATGTTGGACCCTTTGTTGGCAAATTTCTAGTGCCACTGCTACTAGGACTAAGTTCAATGGCCTAGAGCCTGTATCTAGGCCTGGGGGAGGGGGTGGGGTAAACCTAGGACGAGATGGCGCTAATGCACTTTCGCACCTAACTTTTAATTTTTTTTTATCTTAATATGTGTTTCTCCGAGTCAGTGGCATATCCAAGGAAGGGCGTAGGGGGCGCATGCCCCCCACAAAAAGTTCATGCCCCACCAGTCGCCCCCTCATTCGAAAAACTTCGAAGCAAATAAAATCAAGCCTACGCTCAAGAAAAAAATTAACAGGTTAATAAAATATCCCCATTAATTCGAGACACATACAGTACATGAAAGTTTTTACCAAATGGTCAAATTTAGACATGCACACATAACAATACTTGCTAGAAAAAAATCCCACAACCAGTACTACAGTAACAGCAGTGCTAGGTTGGTATTGATTGAGCTTTATTAAAATACTCGCATCGGCAATTTTATCATTGCATGGTAAGTAAATATTATTTAACATTAAAGTGTATATTTTAGGCCTATACAGTACTATTATTGGGTAATTTAGATCTAAATTCATGATTCATTCTGAATTTGATAATATAGGCCTATGTCTGCATCTTTTATCAGTTTGTCTGGTCCCGTCCCGTCCAAAGCAAGGGTTAATGACCTGTATCTTAGTCTCTTGGCTTAGTACTCAAAACAGTATTCTGCTTGCATTTGCAAGAAGTAGAAAATAAGCTATGATCCGGGGTAGATTAATGGTAAAAAACATAACTTGTGTTAAATGCAGCTTCTATTTATCAATTTTATGGAATACCTATTCTATATTCTAGATTAAAGATGGCAAATATACGATCTATGTTTTCTGCCACTGCCAAGCGTCAACACGACCAAAGCAAAACATCCGATTGCGAATGCCAAACCCAAAAAGCTCACACTGCTATAGACGCTTCAATTCCTGATGATGTATCTGAAGTCGATGAATTTGAATCAGAACAACTAGCAATGTTGACATTGGAGAGAGTAAATTTACTAAAGACGACACAACCGACTCAGAATGCAAGGATTTAGGAGCCCAGTGTATTATTATTATTATCATTATTAATATTAATTTATATTATTATTATTATTATTATTTATCCCCTCACATACGTCTATAATAATTAATAATGAAGCAACACTTGATACTATTTGGTCTGAGGTGTGTGAGTTTGTGAAGAGACATCAAGAAGATCTGTCACCCATTAGGCTGAAACGAGCTCCACAACCATCAAGGCAGATGGATGATTTCTATGAGTCAATGACACCTAAGCACTGGTTCAAAATACAATTTATGTATCCAATTCTTGACAACATGCTGCAGGAGCTGTTTACACCATCAAGTGAGAAGTTTATGTACGTCGATCATCTGGCAACCATACAGGAATCAAGAAGACTTGGGCCATGAGATTCACAATTGATTGTTAGTGAGGAAAGCAAGTAACGGTGAAATGGTGCCAACAACTCTTCAGGACTTCCTGACCTTCCTGGAACCATACAGCGATGCATTCTACGAGCTCTATAGACTCGTAAAGATTTCTGCCGTTATTCCAGTGGCGTCCGCATCTTGCGAAAGAAGTTTTTCTTTCATGAAGCAAATTAAGACGTATTTAAGGAATTCGATGGGACACGAACGATTGAGTGACCTTGCCATGTTGTCAATTGAAAGAAGGAGGGCTGAGAAAGCAAACATGGATGAGTTCGTGGACAAGTTTGCTTCAGTTTACAAAAACAGAAAAATTAAGATATTTTAAGAGCCTTAAACGAGATCAATAGAACAGAGACATTGTGGTAATTGTTCAGTTGTATATTATATACTGTATAATCATATTATATATTTATTTGTTTTTCATTTCACAGCAACTAAAATTATCACTGTCACACATAATTGAAAACACGCACATAAAATAGTCTAAAATTGTTGGTACGATGCGATATCTTGGAAGGTCTACAGTAGCAGTTTTTTCCCCTAGTGCATGCATATATACAATTATCGATGTAGGCCTATTTAAAATAAAACTTTCTATTGTAAAATTTAAAGACAATCCGGTAATTTTAATCAAGGCACATAATCTTAATCGAAATAAAAGTTTAATTTTGTTTAGCATGGTATTATCTCTCTTCTTAAATACGGTATACATGGGATACTCCACACTTTAGCAACATATTTATCACAGTATAATGTATATCTGGGAACCTAAGAAGCAATATTTTTCAGTGGTCGTGTCCACCAAGAGTATAAATTCAACCCCCCACCCCTCACCAGCGATAGCCAATCATTTCGATCGCGCCTCATTTCGGTTGCGGTTTATTTCGAACAAATATATGGAGCGTCGAAGGAGTTGCGAAAACGCCAAATTTAATATGCCTAGGCCCTGTATTATTATAAGTAATTCATCAATCGGTTTATCATAGGCCTAAGTAATTTTTTTATTTCCATTTTGCCATCTTTCTACTAACAAAATTTTATCCTTTTACTAACATATTCTCTTTCTTCCATTTACGGTAATATATTCATGATTGAAACATGATCTTATGATTGAAACAATGGAATTTAGTATGTGCTTCATGCTATTCTTTTTGTTGCGTTTTCTTAATAATTATGGTCAATAAAATGTATCTTTGATTTTAAGTGATTTGAATGTTGTTACCATCTGAAATCTATTTTGTAATTTAGATAAAACAATAATCATTACAATATTTATATATATCAATATATATCGCAACAAAAAAAAAAAATGTATCTCGAACTCGGTCAACTTCGTAACATCTGCGTTGTTTCTGTACAAAAAGAAAAATAGCACCAAGTGATACAGTAATATAGTAACAATAATAAACTTTAATACTAATAAAAATAATTGTTAATAAACTAATGTTACAGTAATTTAAATAACAAGTTGGCAGGTTTTTCCTGATAAAATGTTTGATTTTTATAAATAACATATCAAAAAATAATACCGTACTAAGAGAAATACCAAATTTTTAGTATTCATTTTATTTTCTGCATTTGTTATATAGTAGGATCGATAACAACACGAATATAAAAACCGTCCGATAAAAGAGTAAAATGGTACTAGGAATGCAACAAACTAGAAAATAACATATTAATACCATAATATTAATTGAAATTTAGTTTAATAATAATAGTATTCATTTTATTTGCTTTTAATTAGCTTATGTTGTTACTTAGGCCTAGTAGAAAGACAAAAAAACATAAATTAAAAAAAAGTATGATAAACCTATTGACGAACTTACTTACTTACAATAAAGGCTTAGGCAGCCCTAGTTATTAAATTTAGTGTTTACGCAACTCCATTGACGCTCCATATATTTGTTGAAAACAAACCGCGACCGAAATGAAGCGCGACTGAAGTGAGGCGTGACCGAAACGAAGCGCGACGAAAATGATCTGTATTCCAACCAGCCACCCCCCCCCCCACCATTTTAATACTGCTAGATACTCCACTGCTCAGAGTCGCAAGGGATGGGCCTGTGCCCGTGTAGCTGGCCTAGGCCCAGTTGCTGGTTGGCAAAACTCCTCCTAGGCTATTCCGAATGCCCATCCACTCCCTCAGGCTCAGGTACTCCCTCTCCTCCTGTTTTTTTTAAGCTAGTCTAGGCTAGGCTAGGCTTAGCCTAGGTCTAGGAGGAGGAGGTAGGTAGGCTAGTTATTATCAAGCGAAGTCGGTCTCTCTCCACTCTTACATACAAGCTAATTCAACGTGATACTCAAGTTTTACACCTAAATGTTTAAATGTCACATATTTTTTTATATACTTACTCATTCATTATCTTTTTATATTTCAAGTATTTTAGAGAGGAAAATATCTCTCTGTTTTGTAGGTAGTTTTTCCCGGCGCAGTACGATATCATATCATCAAAGGATACAGTACACTTCGATATCATCAACGGGCATCTCGGAATTTTGTCAACTTGCGTCAACTCACGCAAAATTTCATCATTTTCGGGTCAACTCACGTTACATCGCATCAACTCGCGTCAACTCAGTAAAAGCAAGCTCCCTATTTTGCCAGGGAGTTGTTAGAGCCTAGTATGCGTGGGGCTGATACAGGATTTGGGCGGTAGGGAGTGAGTGAGTGACAGTCTACACAACCTGAGCCCCACCAAAATCTTCTGTAGGCCTACCCTAGTAGCCAGACCAGTTTTTGTATGCACTTTGAGGTCCAGAGAATTTTACTTCAGAAATTGGTTTAAGGTGATCTAAGAATCATTTTTAGCTTGGTAACACATTTTCAAAATGTGGCGAGAGGTCAAAAGGTCAGGGTCAAAGGTCATAGCTATAGGGTGTCATATTTCTGTAACCACTGGTAATAGAGAATTAATTTTGGTGCCTATTTGTTCAGAACCTTCATGTTTCTATTTGCTCTAATAGAACATTTTGCTAAAAATGACCGGAAATGCTGTTTCTAACATGTGACACGTTTCAAGGTCATAGCAATAGGGTCATTATATCTCCGCAACCACTAGTGGTAAAGAGTTAATTGTAGTGTCAATATGTTCGGAACATTAATTTTTCTTTTTGGTCTAAAAGAAAAGTTTGCTAGAAAATGACCGGAAATGCTGTGTTTGACCTTTGACATGTTTCAAATGTCATAGTCGTTATTATCTTCACAACCACTGGTGGTAGAAAGTTAATTTTGGTGCCAATTTGTTCGGAATACTCATGTTTCTATTTGCTCTAATAGCACATTTTACGGAAAAGCCGTTTCTGACCTTTGACATGTTTGAAGGTCAGAATCTGCATATCTCCACAACCACTGGTGGTAGAGAGTTAGTTATGGTGTCAATTTGTTAGAGCATAATTCCTGTTTCTATTTGGTGTAACAGAACAGTTTGCTAAAAAATGACCGGAAATGCTGTTCTGACCATTGACATGTTTCAATGCATATATGCCTACCCCTATACATACTTATTGTAGAGACTTTCTTGTGATCTCAAATTATTCATTTACACATGTTTCTGTTTACTTGATTGGAATATTTTGTTAAAACGAATATGGCGATACTGACCATTCACCCATGTTACAAGGCATTTATCACATGAGGCTGGTGTTGACAAAAGGGTTCTTATATCTTGGCAACCAGTGTTCACAAGGAGTTGCCTTTTGTGTAAAACTTCTTAAAATGT